GTTGATTTCTACTTTCATTGTGCTTTAGTCATAGAAAACACTCAGTTAATACTAACCCTTAGAAGATTCCTATCATTCATGGATAGCTGCATTGTGGCTGATGTTGCCAGATGACAGCCACCAAGTCTGCAGCTTTCTCAAATGTCTCCAGACCTTCTCTGTCAGCTTCTCAGATTTGGGGCAGATGTGGTGAACTTCTCTTTCAGGTCAACCTGTATCATCAAGATTGAGACCCATTCTGGAAACAGCAGGCTGATGTGGGTGAGGGAACAGAGATGGAATGAAAAAAACTAACCAAAGGCTTAGGTTGTGAAGATGCTTATTTTTTCTGCTATTTTGTGGATGGAAAAGTTTTCTGGTGCCCTCTTGAGTTATTGCCTCTAATTTATTACTTCCAGAAACATGTGATTTAATTTCTATTTATTATAATAGTAAAAGAAGAAACAAAAAGCCAAAAGTAACAAGAACGTCAAAAGTGTCTCCATATCACCTCCAGATGTTGTCATATTCCCATTTTCCCCCTCTGTGATTCTCTTGCTTTGCTTTGTTTTGTTGCTTGGTTTGGCAAATGCAAGACTAAGGCATGAAGCACCACCCTCAACCCCATCCTCCAGGTGTTTCTTAAGCATCCGCATATTGGGGAAGACCTGGTCGCAGCCCATGCACCTAAAGCCACTATACAGGTCCTCCAGCCCCAAATCCCGGGCCCGATTCTCAGCCTCTTCCCTTTCCTCTTGGCCTTCCCCGGGCAGGCCATTTTCCCTGTCAGTTAGGACGTCTCTTAGGCACACAGAAGAGAGGCTGGCTTTTGAAGGGATCTTCTCAGGAAAGGTCATTCTTGCTATTCTTGTCATCTTTGCGGGGGGCTCCAAATCATCTTCTGTATCCCCAAGGAAGCCATACCCCTTTTCATTATGACAGGCTGATAGTAAACATTCAGGACTCTTTTCTTTTCAGTAGATCTTGCAGACTCTAAGGAGTTATTGGCCAAGGAGGAAGGTAAATGAGGATGTGCCATGAAGGAGAAATTCTTCTTCTCCATCAAATCTTGATTTAAAAGCCTCTTGGAGGATCCAGGACCTGGAACATATTGAGGTAGTATGTTGGTATTTGGAAAAGAAAGCTTCAAAAATAATGAGATAAGATGGCCATGAAAATGTCCTGGGGTGGGGTCATATTTTGTGTGTGGTTTTGTGTCATGTAATGTACATGCCTTGTAATCCTACGTGGAAAATGAGTTGTGTAAGGCAACTACTATAAATTATGTATGTACACACATGTATATAGACATGTGCATGTATGTGTGTATACATACATATACAGAGTCTGCCAAAAAATGTATATACACTTCAGGAAAAGAAAAATAGTATGTTTTTCAATTACCCAAATGAGGGGCACCATAGAGGATGTTGTAGATTGCAGGAAATCCACTACATTGTCAGCTCTTAGGGAAGAAATTGAAAACAAATATGTAGCAATCTCAATAACCAAGATCACCCAAGCAGCAGTTCACTGCTAATGGGCTCAACTTTGAGCACCTCTTGTAATTGTAGTGCCCAAAGATAACTTGCATTAATCTCATTATATCTCAATATATGCAGTATTAAAATATTTATACAAGTTTTTCTTTTCCTAAAGTGTGTATACATTTTTGGGGCAGAATCTGTATATGTATGTATACGTACATATATCCTGGTATACCTTTGGTGACTGTCTGGACTGGCAAAAGCAGATAGTGATGTGTCTGTGTGTGTGTGTGTGTCTGATACGGTATGAGATAGCACATGTGATTTCATTGTGAATATTGGTAGATGGTGTGACAATAGCCTTACACATTGGAGGAAGTGTTTATGACCTCAGTACATGCAGCTCTGTGAAGGGCTGAAGGCGTGGTAGAAGAAGTGACTTTTGTGTGAGAACATATACATATTAGAAGGGCACAAGAGTTTTCTAGTATTTTGTCTACTAGTAGCATTATGAAATTAAAACAGGTTATCCATGTGAGGTAATAGTTTATCTGTGTGAGGTGATATGAAGTTATTTACAGGATTAAGGTGTAAAATGGTGGGTGAGTCTGAGAATGACTTCTGGAATGTGGGCATAAGGCTGTACCTATGTAACACTGATACTGGGAAAATAGGGAGAGACGAGATATTTATGAGAAAGATAAAAAGGAGAAGAAATGGTCTGTACTTAGTACAAAGGAGTGTGACATGTGAGTGTGAGCTGAGTTTATACACTGATCTGAAGGGGAAGACTCTGATCCCACCTCCTGCACATCACATAGGCCACTGCCTCACCCACAGTGGCCCCAGTGTCCACATGAAAATGTGTGCTGAGGAACTCTGTCCTCCTCTAGAAGGCAGATTTCCTATCTGCCCCTCCCCAGAGGAGTCAGTGTTCATCCCTCTTCCCTGAAGACCTTTCGTGTATGTAAAGGAAGTGAATGGGGTTGGGAGGCTGCTCAGCTGCACCTCTTGTCCAAGCTCAGGTCACCTTTGCATCTGCCTTACCATCCTCGTCCATAGGAATGCACTCGCTTGAAGAAGAGCTGCACAGCGAATGTTCTGAGACTGAGCAATTCTCTCCTGCATCCAGATTTGAACTTGGGACCATCTCATCATGTGTCTCAGTGGTATCCTCTGGAGAGTTGTGCAGTTCTGAAGTGGAAGAAAACAGAAGCAACAAAAATATTGATACATAGCATAGTCTGAGTCTGTGTCATTTTGAAACATATATTGAGTAGATATTTTGTTTCTGCCATTGTTACCACCCATGGTAATTCCTCACACGAAATTAAAGAGAACTTATTAAAATTATGTATGTGGTGGGTATCACTGGGATTGGGTATCTTCTATATATTTCTAGAGATGTATACAGAATATTGGGAACTCAAATATGTTTAAAATATGATATACATTCACTAGTGGTTAGATATTATTACTATTGCTATTTTTATTGGCTCAATTTCCTGGTAATAAATTGTGCCAGTGAAGGCTGTGGAGTACAAGTTTCATGAGGAATTGTGAATGTTGACTCATTTATTTTGGTGAATGTAGAGTCATATACATGGAAGGGTTGATGTGAATATGAATAAAAGATGGACCTGCATGCAAAGATACAAATTGTTAGATGGTTCTCTAGGAACTGGGCATGGCACAGCTAAGCATTCAAATGAAGACTTTATAGACTTGATCCCAATTCATCTTTCAGAAATGTGCTTCCACATTTCTATTGGATCTTTAACCTTCTGATATAGGAGGTGGAATGTGGCAAACTGACTAGAGAAGTGGGAGGGACCTGTAAATTACAAGACTCCAGGGCAGTGACAGATGATTCTCTGGACCCCATATGTAGAACTTCCTATGAGCTCCACAAGATATGGACATCATGAGGAAGACCAGAAACTTGGAGGAGCTTGCTATCTTTACTCTTCACAGTAGCCCACCCTGGGTTTCCCAAACCCAGGGTGTATTTTTAATTTTTGCTCTTTTTATCTTTTCTTTTTTTGGCTCAAGTTTGCTCTAGAGAGCTAGGTTTTCCCTTACCCCTTCACCCTTCATTTTTCAAATAAACTTTTGGGAGATCGAAAAATGAACATGGTGAGTTTTGGAAACAGAACCTGGGCAGTTTTGGAGAAAAGTGGTCATTTATTCAGTTGTTGAACAAACGGGGTCTGCTCCACCTCTGTTCCACCTCAGACCTTTGAGAATGAACTTGTCTGTAAAATGGGAGCAGAGTAATCAAGAGATTATACCTGAAATAGCTGATTCCATTCTGCTCACCCTCTGCTATTCTCCAAAGCCATCTTGTCCAGCGTCCTCTCCCAGGAATACTTACTGCGTCTTGAACAGTGATGTCTTACTTGGGCAGGAACTGCTGCACTTCGGTCCTCTGTGTTTCTACAGGGATCCTGCCCTCAAGGTGCCTTATGCCCCTCAAACTTGGTACTGTTTCATATTGCTTGCCGCCTTCTACATATTTCATACTTTGTCTACATCTTACTTCCTAGAGATTCTTAATCTCAAACAAAAGATTTGGTAAATTTTTGTGTTTGAAGAAATTAAATATTCATGATCTTCTTATGT